AAAAAAAAAAAAAAAAAAAAAAAAAAAAAAAAAAAAGGAAAAAAGACAAAAAGTGAAGTTTTGTTGAAATCGGTTGAAAAATGTAGGAAATCCAATCCCATATATAAATGAACACACACAAACAACCTTGGTTTTTATAAGTATAACTCAATATGAGTTGTCCCCCTTTCATTCGTGCGATGCCTCTTAATCGTGTTTTCAAATTGATTTTGTGCAAAAACAATTGAGTTTTTCCAATTTTTGGCACTGTCAGAACCACCGCAAGATAATTTTACCGTAGTCCTGTGAAGTTTTGTTGAAATTGGTTGAAAAATGTAGGAAATCCAATCCAATATATAAACGTACGTGTTTTATCATAAGTATGATTTACCTTGCCATTTCAGCAATAATAAAAAAAAAAAATTGAATAAAAATCAGAATAAACCTATATTTTCCAAACTTCAGAAATTCCCAGAACATTGAAAAAAATGAAAAGCAAAGCCTCTCTATTACAATAGATATAACATCGCTACATTTATCTTTGACACTCAGAGCCGAAAGAGAGGAAGAAGACATAAAAAAAACGAATAGGGAGAGAGCGAGTACGAGGAGACAAGAAAACTGATTAAGAGGAGAAATAACTACAACATTCTACACATGCACAAACACACACGGATGGATGAATGCATGCACAAAGGAAGGAAAGAAAAAGGAAAAGAATAAATCAACTTTACACTCATAAGTGTGTAAATTATATTTTTTGTAACTTAATATAAAGATAACTGAAAAGAAAAAAAAAATAAGCAGTGACTTGCTGATTCCTCCTGAAGAGAGGATAGAGCGATTATTAAAAAGTTTGTCTACAAAACTCTGGAGTCAGGGTGATGAATATAATATCAATCAGCAAAATAGCAAAATGTCAAATATATATATATATATATATATATATATATATATATATACACACACACACGTGTGTGTGTATGTGCGCGCATGTTTGATTAAAACCTAATTAAAGTTCGTTGTTGATTTTGTTTCTTTTTTTTTCAATACTAATAAATATTCTTTAGATTTTTGGTTTGCATTTGTAAATATATCTCCCCATATCTAAACACTAGCCATTTTGAAAGACTTCTGTTTTTTTTGTTGTCAGTTTATTTTTTTATTATTGTATTTCACATATTACTATTTTTTTCCTTTTTTTTTTTAAAATGAAGTATATTAAACACAGATAATAAGAGATACAGTGTGAACATAGGAATGGATGTTGCATGGCAACTGTCATTTTCATGCATCAACAATAACTTCATGGCAAGGTCTTCTGACAGTCACCATGCAGTGTTGGTTCCTAGGCCCATTCACTATCTCTGATACCAAGCACTCTTCCTCCATAAATATCACAATTATATATATATATATATATATATATATATATATATATATATATATATATATATATATATATATGAGATTTTTTAATGAACCAGATACTTTATTTATTTTCAAAAATCCAGTTAAATCTTTATGATTTTGATCATCAGGTAACACTTCCAATTGGAAGTGTTATTTGATGATCCAAAACTTTTAGAAAGGATTTTGGTGAAATAAATTATTGTAATGGTACCTTAAAGTGTCTGTTGTTCATTAAATATTAGCTCTGTTCTTCACATTGAGCTCTCAGGATTTCATCCTCCTTGGATTTACCAATTCGGTTTACCAAATTCTTCAAACTTAAATATATATATATATATATATATATATATAAAATATAAATAAAATCTCCTGTTTTGGTAGAACAATGCAAGTATATGACAGGATTATTATTCAGCACAATCCACAGTATTTTCTCTGCATGGACTGTTGCATAATTTGGTGATGCATAAATAATCCCATCATATTTCTAGGAACTATGCAAATAAGTAGTTACCTGGAACTGCCCAAAAAATGATGTTAATATTTAAGTAATTTTGCAATTGCAATGTACTTAATAAAATAAATTTTTTTTTTTTAAAAATGATCTACATTTTCTTGTTTAAACCTACTGAATATTAAGAGACGGAAAAGGAAAAAGAGACTGAAATGAGACAAAGGGGGAAAGCAAAGAGAAAAAGTAAAGAAAAAAGAACAGAGAATAGAGAAAAATAAAAATGTGAAAAGAAAAAGAAGTAAAGAAAGAAAACCAGAATAAAAAGAAAAACAAGAAAAAAAAATAGTAAAGAAAAAAAAAAAAAAGAACACTTTTAGGGAGGCATTGCCAGAGTAGATTGTGGCAGTTCGCAGAGAAATAGCTCTCCAAGTGGAACATCCTCCTTACAAATGGAATATGGGAGAAATGTGAATGATTTGACTGTGGATGTAACATGGTGACTACTAGCTGTAAAGATTTGAACTAGTGAAATGAAAGAGGAATCCATTTACCATGGAAACATGCAATGTTGTGTCTGAGGGAAAGAGGCTGAACAGTGAAAAGTGAGTCGTCTGTGAGACCGGACTGCTTTGAGGATGGTGAATAAAAACAGCATTGTTTTGAGTTTAATGCATAACCATCAAAATATCAGTACAAACTATGTTTTTTTTTTCTCGGAATAAATATTGATTACTCACAAATTCATTTTCATGATGTAACTTTATTTTGTTTGCACAACCAAACGCTATATTATCTACCATGACCAACAACTGATTGATCAATTTTAAAAAATTGATATGCAACATTTTGCCAGAGATTTTTGCTAACCCTTGACGATCTTCAGTCACTGCTGTGAACTTGGCTGGCCATGTGGAGTGCAGTGAAGGTTCTATCAAACAGGTCTGTGAGGTGGCGGTTGAGGGCAACAGAGGAAGGGGATGGAGGATATTCAGATGGACAGAGAAAACCTGGGCCTAGTATTAGCTGAGGTGAGTGACAGGCGCATGTGGTGGGGTAAAAGTTTCAAATTAATTAACGATCATTCGCAAGGGGAAAATTGTTAATTAATTTGAAAAACCATTTATTTTACATTCAACATCATCACTTGATAAGACACTGGAGGTATTGAAACAAAATGACTATTTTTGTAGTGATTTTATAACATTTATGTTATAATTTTTTTAAATAAATAATTATATCTGCTCTACTCTGTATTGAGCACTCTTTTAAGAATAGTAATTATTGGTTATTGGAATTCCTTCCATATACACCAATTATATACTTGTGTGTGTGTGTATATATATATATATATATATATATATATATATACACACACTTGCACACACTCATATATATATCTTCACACACACACACAATAAATATATATATGGAATGACAAGATTTCCATTTTTTTTTTTTTTTTTTTCCACCATTGAACAAGAGTAATTAGGTTTTCAGCATTACCAGACCCAAAGATTGAACTCGCAAATGCAATGGACAAGAGATAGAAAGGTGAAAAAGATAAGATTGGTTGGAATTAAATTAATAAAATGGGAATAACAAACCTCAAATTAAATAATGTTTGATTCAAAATTCCAACAAGATTAACAAATACAAATGAACCTTTGCCATCAAAAATGATGACATGTGTTAGAAAGTTTTACTGCTGAGAGGCAATGAAACCAAAGTCTTGAAACAATGTTATTGAGATTCAATAAAGCATGGATCCATAATTCATAACCAAAACGGGTCAATGAACCATTTAACAAATCTGTTCCTTTTATTATTTTTTTTTCTCATACAGTTAATGGTATCAATGAATTTTTTTTTTTTTTTTTTTATTTCTTTGGGTTATGCATTTTTTTATGTCAAAAAAATGTTCTATGCTTAATAGAACTGACTCAAAATGTAAACACCCATTAAAAAAAAAAAAAAAAAAAAAAAAGGAAAAAGTTAGCAACAGAATGACAAAGACAGTGATGGTAAAGCATATCTGAAGCAAGATAATCACTTAGTAGATGACAAAGGTACCAGAGTACTTCATAAGAAAAGCTTGAACAAATAAGACTGCAGTCTTAGAAATGTAGCAGTAGGTGAAAAGTTAATTAAATGTTTTATTTTGTCTCAGGAACCAATCTTGTCTAAAAGAAAAATAAATATTTGTATAGATTATTAAAATGGCTAATGGAAGCAACCACTCATTTGGTGATGAGATGACAAGAGTGTCACAAACTATAGTGTTGACCGAGTCACAACTTTAGCTTCAACATTAGAGAATACAGAGTAACCCACTTCATAATTTTATCATAATTCAAAACTGGTCACTCATGACCCACAAAATCAGGACACTATGCTTCCCGATCACTACAATCTTAACATCTTCAAGTCTCAGATCAGCTGTTATCTATCCGACATATCCTCATAATATCTATTTTTAACTTTCTCCTTTTACAGCCTGACAACAACCTCATTTAATAAGGCTCTATCTTGTGTGGATCTTGGCCCTTGTATTGAATGGACTACAGTATAAAACCTTGCAGCACCCATCTCCTCACCAAGCAACAGATTGTACTGAGTTACATGGTACTAACAACAAAGAGTAAAATCTTCATGATGAGCAAATGCTGAAAAGTCTGTCTGTCCAAAAATGTAACCACATAACCAAATATAAGATTTTTTTTCATTTTTAAAAGTATTTCTTGGTTGAGCTGAGAACTTGTCAGTCATTAATTAAATATTAATTCAAGCATAATGTGGTGAATTATTTTTACATTTTCAGTTTTTTTAAACAAACCTGTTTTCATTTGGACGTGGGGGTGCTATATTTTTAACCTGACCTTTGTGCCAAGGAGACATCCTGATGTTACCACCTGATGGCAAGAGAAGACAATGAATGATGTGCTACCAATTAATCAATTTATTCACCAAATTTAAAAAAAAAAAAAAAAGAAGCCACCTGAACACACCTGTTTCCTATCCCAATCAGGATAGAGATAAAGTCTGTTTGGAGGATTCAAACAGACTGTGAAGGGAAAACATCAGTATCATAGGAGATGACAAATAAACATCTACTTTTAATGGACGCCAAATTGGGTGAAGAGATGAACTCTTATTTTCAGATACATTTGGGTGAAAGTCGGTGAAGAATGTAAGAGAGTAGTCTATCAGGGATGTAAGTAAGAGGGATGGAAAGAGGTAGAGAAAGGAAAACAGAAGGGGAAAGAGTAGCAGAAACAGAGGGGAATCGAGAGAGAGAAAGGGGGAGTGAGAGAAAAAGCAAGGGAGAGAGAGAAAGTGAGAAAAAAGGGAGGGAGGAAGAGAAAAAGAAGAGGAGGGAAAGGGTGTACATGAGAGGTAGAGAAAAAAAAAGAATGGTGGGGAGGTTATGAGTAGCAAGGCTTAATATCCAGGATACATATTACTTCAGAAATTATTAGAGAGGATATTACATACTTGAAATAGACAGCACATTTTTATTTATTAAACAGTATGTCCACCTGCATTCTAGATTTTATACACTTTTTAATGAATAAAAGCAAGCAGGCGACTTCAAATACCACTCCAAATATCCAGTATTATAATGTTTAAAGTAATAAAAAAAAACGTCTGATTAAAATAAATCCATTTCTTTTTTTAGAAGTGTGTGTGTGTGTGTGTGTGTGATATGTCTACTGACCTGTACATTTGAGAGAAAATAAAAACATGCTCTCTAGTAGGATTTCAAATCTGTGTCCCTCTTTGCATAGGAGAAATTTGGCATGCTTCAGACCATGATCCGTCTAACAAAGGTGGATATATTTATTTAATTTTAGGATATTATATCGAATTTGTTCTCATCTTACCTGGATGGATGGATATGTATATAAATAAAAAGAAAGAACAGTAAGATATAAAATCCGGTGTTCTTATAGATATTTTTATAAAATAGTGCTCAATGTAAATTTACAGAGCATTAATATTATAAATTAATTGATTTAAAATATGGTTTTTTTTCGCTATATATATGTGTGTGTGTGTGTGTGTGTGTGTTATACTATTTGCACCCACATAGAATTGGAAGAGGTGGTTTTATCGGGATCAAATATTTCTGCTAGAGCATTTTGCTACAAAAATATATCATTCGGCATTTTGCTACAAAAATATATTGTTCATCATTTTGCCACAAAAATGCATTGTTGGTAAATTTTTTTTTTTTTTTTTAATAAATGTGTATTGTTCATTATTTTTTTTATAAAACCCGTTTTGTTGGTCATTTTACTATAAAAATGTACTATAATATACTTTCCTAGTGTTTTGATTTTTGCTTGTGGTTCACTATTTGCCCATATCGAAGACCCTAACAGGTGCTACCACTCTGGATCAGAGTGCACCTGGGAATGACAGTAATTAAGATGTGGTTCCATGCTCCTCAAAATCCTCCACTCTCCTGATTAGAGGCCTTGCAGCCAAATGTAGTTTATTGTCAACTTTGAGTCCAGATTTCACATCTTGTCACTTGTTTTTTTCTAAAAGATTGAATTACCATTGAAAGTGATATTTCAGACCATCAATTATATTCATCATCATCCTTCAACCTCCCTATGTTTGTTGGTCATTTTAGTATGAAATGTATTGTTGGTCATTTTAGCATGAAATGTATTGTTGGTCATTTTAGTATAAATAGGCATTTTTATGCTTTCATAGTTTTTTGCTTTTGTTTTGTGGTTCACTATTTGTCCACAACTGGGACCCTAACAAGTGCTACCGTCCTGGATCAAGGTGGATCTAGGAACAACAGTAATTAAGATGTGGCTCTACACTCATCAAAACCTCCAATCTCCCAGTCAGAGGCCTTGCTACTGTCATATGCAGGATATACTCACCTAGAAAATCAGGGTGTAAACTCTAAAAAAAGAAAACACTGACCTCTAGGATTGGTGCAACTGTAACACAAAACTCATCTTAAGTTATATTTCAACATAATCACTTCCTTAATTCAGTGTTCTGTATGCAGGTGTGTCAATAAATCTGTGACCTAATGATAAAAGTATTTAATTTCTTATGCACAACAAATATTCATTTTGCAATATAATTTCCTAGTCTGTCAACAATACATTTCATACTAAAATGACCAACAATACATTTCATACTAAAATGACCAACAATACATTTCATACTAAAATGACCAACAATACATTTCATACTAAAATGACCAACAATACATTTCATACTAAAATGACCAACAATACATTTCATACTAAAATGACCAACAATACATTTCATACTAAAATGACCAACAATACATTTCATACTAAAATGACCAACAATACATTTCATACATTTCAAAAATGACCAACAATACATTTCATACTAAATGACCAACAATACATTTCATACTAAAATGACCAACAATACATTTCATACTAAAATGACCAACAATACATTTCACAGCAAAAAAGATAAGCAATTGTGTTCAAAATATTTAGTTGAAACCATAAAATTGTGTCCTAATATTTAAATTTTCTGACATTAAATGACTTACAGATGTTGATATGCTGCTAAACAAAATCAACCAAATCAAACCTCACTCTGAAGACTGGTTTAACACAATCTTACATCTATATAGCTCTGTGTCATACAAAATGAGCAAGGTTCAAGAAGATAGAAGATAGTGATTGACATTGCATTTAAATTTTTGAAGACTGGAGTTATCATGGAAGCAAGGAAGCAGAAGGGACTTCCACAGGTAGGAAGCATGAGAAAAAAAAAACTGTTGGAATAGAAGTGGTAGTTGCATTTATCTATTTCAACAGTAAAAACGTTGAGACCTAGCTGCTAATCTAGTAGCTTAAATTCATGTAGTCAAGGCAGTTTTATCTTTCACCATTTATGTTTGGATTAATACAAATGTAAAATTTGTCACTTGGTTGATTTATGTTGTATTCAGCACCTCAACTCTGGAGTTTTGCAGATAAACCCTTTTGTAATTGTTCAGGCCACTTGTCAGGAGGTTTCAGATGTTATAAAATAATTTAATTAAAAATTTAGGAACCGATTTATTACTTCACATCATAGAAAAATAGATACGCTTTGCTGATATAACAATACAAAGTGTTTTAAGAAATAGGTCTTTCCAAAATAGAAACTATGATCTGGAATTAAAATGAAAGCAGTGAAGGCACATAACCTAAATCCATCATAAAAATCCAGAATGTAGATTTAGTAAATACTGAACACTTAAAAATACCTGAGTGTATGGATCTGTTATATCAAATTTAGTCTAAGAGATAAGGAAACTGAATATAGGATAGGCTTGAGGTAGTTTTGAAGCCCACCTGAAGTTGCTACAAAACTAAAACATTAATTTAAGAACTAGTGAAAATGTCTAAACTGTAATCTTTTCTCATAATTTCTCAAATCAATGATTGAAAAACTATGTCAATATTTTTTCCAGAAAATAGCTTTCTCAAGTCCAGTTACTTTTAACATTCTTTCCAGGTTCAAGGAGGTTTCTTTCCTCACCATTTATTTGAAGTAGTGTGGAACATCAACATCTTGATTATGTCTGTTTCTTTTCAAGTTACATATGGTATCTATTTTAGCTGTTGCTTTTGTTGAAAGTTTTCAAGTGATATGGTTTCTGTTATTTCTTTGTGATTCTGTAGTGCCGGAACAGTTTATCTAAATTGACAGATTTGTAATGAAGTCTCGAGGGGACAAGAGTTGAAAAATTTGTTGAAACAAAAAAGGAGGATATTAGTATGGCTGTAAACAATGGAAAAATTCAGTTTTCTAGATCCTTACAAAATGCTGAACTGCTGCAAAACCAAAACATAGATCTAAAAACTAGAGAAGTATCTAAATTGTCAGCTGTATACAACCAGTTTCTCAAACCAATGACTGAATATTGTTTTTGGTAAATTCTTGTTGACACACCACAGAATCAAAAAGAACTGTAACAAATGGATAGCACATCTAACTCTAAAGCAAATAATGACATAAACAAGATGAGATTTCCACATGACTTTGAACAGAAGGTTAGGAAGGAAACTCCCATAAATACTGGAAAGCACAATAACAGTTACTGGACTTGACAAACTTATCTTCCTGAAAAACTGTTTTGAGAATTTTGACTAACAGTTATGCTAACAGTTCAGTCACTGAATATACGTTTCTTTATAAGCAAACATCTAAAGCCTCTCATTACTTTTACAAGAGCCTGAAGAGAAACAGAGGTGAAAGAAGTAAAGTAAACATTTTCAGATGTTCAGGAATTGGTCCTTTAAAAAACCTGGGAGAACAGTTTTCTTGCCTGAATTTCCATAACAAAAAGTTATTTACAGACTAACATCATTATCTGTGTTGCTTTCATCAGCCACTGTTTTCTCAGTTGGGATAACATTCAGAAAATTTTATTTTATTTTTAAAATCATTTCACCCCAAGTGAAGCAGTGATACCACTAGTGCACAGAGGATAGAAAGAGAAGACTCAGTATAAAGGAGATTGAGGAAAGGAAAAAAGATGAATAGGTTTCAAAAAGATAGGAGATGGTGATTGACATATTTAAATTTTTGAAGACTGTAGTTATCAAGGAAGCAAGTCAATGGAAGGGAGTTCCACAGGTGGGAAAAGCAAGAAAAGAAACTGTTGGAGTAGAAGTGGTGGCTGCATTTAGTTATTTCATCAGTAAAACAGTGGCACCTAGTTGCCAATCTCATAGCCCACATAAATCCATGTAGTTTTATGAATTTGGTAATAAAGTAACTTTGAGTTCAGTCCCTGGGATGTGTATTTATTTATATTAGTAAGTTGTCCCAAAAGTTCGTAAACACTTGCGAAAAATTGAATTTCTATGCAATTTTTAATTGTTTTTTTTAATTTATTGTTAATTTTGAAAAAATTTTATTTCATTAAAATTTTTATTTAATTGTTTTTTGCATTTATATTGTTATAGTGATCTTCATCTTTGTATTCCAGATGGCAATTGATAAAATTGAGCTGCGAGTTTTGATTCGTTACTGCTGGAAGCGTTATCTTTCAACCAGAAAAGATGCAGAAGAGATTTGTGCTGCCAAAGGTGAAGGAACAATTGCATATGCGGCGATCTCAAAGTGGTATAAGCGTTTCCATTCTGGCGATATGAGTCTTGAAGATAAGCCTCGTTCAGGACGGCCATTAAAGATGGATGATGGAGACTTGCAAACCAGGTTGGACATTGCGCCTTCATCAAGCACTCGAGAATTGGCTGATGAGCTTGGAGTTGGCAAATCGACAATTCACCAACACTTGAAGCAACAAAAAGCCGTGCCAAGATCCGCACGAACTCATCGAAGCACAAGCCAACAGACGAGTTGAAATTTGCCATCAATTGCTCAGCAATCCATTGGACAAGCATTTTTGGAAGCGCATTGTGACATC